CACCCCCCTGAAGCCTCTGGTGATCAGCACCGTGCCAGCTGCGTCACACACTGGTGCCCTGAGAAGAAAAGACAGAGCAGGGACTTCCACAAAATTCCCAGAGAAACTCACAAAGGGAAGGGGAAAAGAAAAAGAAAGAAAAAAAAAAAAGACTTCAAACTCCTGCGCCCAGCTCCAGAACAAATGGCATTTTCTCACCCCTCTCATCCCTTTGATGGAAAATAAATGAGAACCACAAATAATAATCCTTAGCCCTTCTGCAGTGCCTTTCATCCGGAGAGCTCAAAGCTCTTTGGATATTAATTCATTAAGTCTGGTAACACCCCTGCGAGGGGTGGAAATATTACTGTGTTCAACTTGGGAAATAAACCGACACTGCGGAGCTCAAGCAAGCCGGTTTGGGCCAAAACTCTGCGGAAGGAGCCAAATCTGTGCGTGTCTCCCACCGCCCACCACAGAGCTGCACTGGAGGAGAGGCCGGGGGCTGCAGAAGACCATCACTGGCCACCAGCCCCCGTACAGTGACCCCACCTGAGACATGGGAGTGGAAACAGAGAGATGTCAAAAGGTTTGCCCAAAGGCAGGACAAAAGCCAGCAAAGTCTCCAACCCTGCACGAGCATCTCAAGGTCTTACCTCGGGCAACCACAACCAGGCAGCTAAGGGAGAGCCAGCTCTTGCCCAGCACTTGGTCACCCAGCTGTGCCCAGGCTGATCTCTTGGGAAAATCAGGCCCGGGATGGTCTGAACCGAGTGGGTGGCCAGCAAGCCGTGCTGCTGGCCACAGCCGAGGCACCAAACTGCCCAGCACAGGAAAAGCAGCAATGTTTGAAGAACAAAGCACCATCCCAAAGGCGGAAAATACAGGAGCCTGAATCACTCTGCACTCCAGCAGTGACCTTCAGTCGTTCCTCAGCAGCAGGCAGAGAGCTGCCCTGTCCCTGCAGGATGTCCCTCCGGTCAGGTGGAGGTCCCAGCACAGCTCTGCTGCTCCGCTCGCCCTCCTCACGTATCGGGGCAGGCTGACAGCAGTGCCCTGCAGCGCATCACGCCAACTGCTCCCAGGCCCATGGGTGGGACGCCGTCATTACGAGAGGTGATGGCAGCCAGGGTGGCAGCTGGCAGGTCCAGAGGAACGTGATGGGGTTTAATACGAAGGATGAAGCTCTGCAGAAACACTGAGCGTTTTCACGTAGTTGAGGCTGCAACAGTGCTTGGCTCCAGAGAGAGCGAAATGCTTCCAGACTACGGAAGCATCTGCCTCATCTCCTCACTAGTTAAACAGTTAAAAGATATTTGACCTGTCACAAAGTGTGAAATAATGTTTTACAGGAAACGCTTGCACTTGGCCATGACAACGCTGGGTACCACGCGAGAGCCTAAATCACACCTGGAAGTACCTTCAGATCTTCGGAAGAACATTCAAAGAGAACACAAACTGCTTCTGTTCACGCTCGTTTTTACGGAGAACATTTCTTTGCCAAGCATTAAACAGAGCACAAACAGCCCACCTTGGCTGCCCGCAGCCACCGCGCTGCCCAGTGCAGACCAGTGTCCGAACAAACCCCGTTACACGAGGTGTTCCAGCCCAGGGGCGATAAACGCCTGTAAACCAGCAGCGCTCCCACCGCAGCCCAGCGGCTCTGCAGGCTGGGATGGATCCAGGCAATGGAGAAATCACACCAC